AAAAGTGCCTGGAAGAGTTAGAAAAAGTTCCTGGAAGGAGTAAGAAGACCCTGGAATAGTATGCAAAAGTTTATGGAACAGTAAGAAAAAGTTCTTTGAAATGAGGGAATAGTAAGTAAAAGTTTATGGAATAGTAAGAAAAAAGTTCCTGGAATAGTAAGATAAAGTTCTTGGAATTGTGGGAAAAAGTTTCTGGAATAGTAAGTAAAAGTTGCTGGAATAGTATGGAAAAGTTTCTGGAATAGTAAGATAAAGTTCTTGGAATTGTGGGAAAAAGTTGCTGGAATAGTAAGATAAAGTTCTTGGAATAGTAAGAAAAAAGTTACTGGAATAGTTAGATAAAGTTCTTGGAATTGTGGGAAAAAGTTGCTGGTTTAGTAAGAAGATAGTTCCTGGAATAGTTAGTAAAAGTTCCTGGAATAGTAAGAAAAAAGTTACTGGAATAGTTAGATAAAGTTCTTGGAATTGTGGGAAAAAGTTGCTGGAATAGTAAGATAAAGTTCTTGGAATAGTAAGAAAAAAGTTACTGGAATAGTTAGATAAAGTTCTTGGAATTGTGGGAAAAAGTTGCTGGTTTAGTAAGAAGATAGTTCCTGGAATAGTAAGTAAAAGTTTATGGAATAGTAAGAAAAAAGTTCCTGGAATAGTAAGATAAAGTTCTTGGAATTGTGGGAAAAAGTTTCTGGAATAGTAAGTAAAAGTTGCTGGAATAGTATGGAAAAGTTTCTGGAATAGTAAGATAAAGTTCTTGGAATTGTGGGAAAAAGTTGCTGGAATAGTAAGAAGATAGTTCCTGGAATAGTAAGAAGAAGTTCCTGGAATAGTAAGAAGTTCCAGTTCTGTGCCAGTTCGCAGTCTTGTTCAGTAAACCCTTTATCTACATAGGTATGAGACTTTTAAGATGAACTGTTTGCAGCAATTAGATCTTATCTTAGAGTTAATCTACGACTCTTTCGTCTGGAAAAAGAACACAAGCTAGTTCCAGATATCAGTTGGACTAAATTGCAAGGGCAAGACTCTAAATGAAGAGGCAAACAGAGGCAGCGCATATTTAGCATAAAGAATCTTAGATAATGCCAGGCTCCACTGGCTAGACCGAGACTTGAAGCTATCCGATATGACTTATTTATGTCTGCCATGGGAGAGTCCTTGGCTGGTTCCATAAATCAGATTCAATAAAGAGTCAACATCTATTTAATGAGGAGATTGTGTGTAGCTCACAGACATAAGAATGGTGGTTCGGTATGAAGCAGTTTTTATTTATATTTATTATTATTATATATTTATACGTTTTCTTTGAGTTTCCCAAAACGTGTTTCGATGCCGCGCTTTTGAGATCTGAAGAAGACATCACTCCGCAACTGTCAGTGGGGCGTGTCCAATAAATTAGTTTTGGGCATTCGTTCATGTAGTTTGGGGCGCCAAGTTGTGTTGTCTTTAAGTTGTTTTGTGTATCTTCTATAATTTAGTTTTTGTGACTGTTGTGCCAAGGCAAAAGCCATCATCTTGATCGAGCTGAAGATCATGAAGAGCGCGCAGAACCGCATCGAATGGATCGGCATGGAGAAATCTTGATCGGGCTGACAAGCTGCTGAAAACGCTTAACGTTTTCATTAATTCAAAAATTACCAGCAAAAATCATTTGTCAGTGACAGAGAACATCGCCGGGCCGGACCGGGCCGGGCCAGCATCTTGTGTGAAACCTGACCAAAAACTGAAAGAGATTCGTTTGCAGCTAACACAAAAATATGAATGCCAAACACGGCATTCGCTTTGGGTTATTAGGCATTATAACGAAACATTCAAATCAACATTAATGATTTCCATTTATAAGCTGCGCATCCGGTCGGATTTGGTCTTCTTTTTTTTAAGTCTAAGTACTGTTACGAATTGTACATTGAAAATTGGCAACAGCGCACAGCTGTTAATCGCTGGCATCGAAATTTGGCAACAGCTGTGGCACTTTGCTGCAAAGCTGTGCTTCTTTTTATTAAGGAAATTTGGCAACAGCGCTGCTCAATGTGAAAATATCTATATTGATGTGTGAAAACTGGCAACAGCGCAATTTAGCCAATAAATACACCAAAGAAGTGTGTTATTCAGCTTTTTCAAGCATTTTCAGACACGAAAATCCAAATCAGAGCGTAATTTACATGCTGAAATTTGGCAACAGCGCGCCAGCAAACTCTAATCGTTTCTTGTGAAATCTGGCAACAGCGCAGAATGCTTTTAAAATGAATGGAATAAAACGTTTTGGACTCAACGGGTATAAGTCGTTGACTATTGAAAGCAATCCAAAATGTTGTGTTATTTTCATGACTGAAATTCGGCAACAGCGCCAACTTGACGTGCAGAAGTTCGGCAACAGCGCCGCAAACAGACAGCTAGGAAAAGATATTATTGATTAACGACAATATTTTCGAGCGTATCGTATCAGTAGAAATATGAAGACTCGCTGAACAGCCACGCAGAAACATTGCCCGGCTGAGATCTGCATCCGAAATGAGGCGCAGTTCGATCGGATCAGGCAACGAGCGGCGCTTGATAAATGTGATAAGAGCCCAAAACGGAACGACTAATTAAGCGAAGGTTAACCGAGACATGCATTAACATAACGAACCGACTGCCAAATAATATCGACAACTCGCTGCCGCACACCCAGAACTGAAGAGCTTCAAGCTCCGTCAAACCTGTGGTCCATTTGTCAAAAGAAAAAAAAAACAAGTAAGAGGTTCTAGTCGGGAGCTCCCGACTAGGGGATACCCTGAACCCTCTTCTTGCAACATCAAATGCATATATTTATTCTATTTTAGAAGCTATATGTCAAGTTTGCTGACTCTAGCTCTTATTATTGACCAAAATTGCCCAAAAAACAGGATATCGATATCGATATTTTTATCGATTGCTTGTAAACGGAGCAAGTTATCGATTATCAGAAACAAACTCGATCTGCACGGGAACTAGGAGCATCTACATCATTTCAAGTTTCTAGCTCTTATAGGTTCTGAGATCCTTGCGTTCATATATACGGACGGATGGACGGACGAACGGACAGACAGACGGACATGGCTAGATCGACTCGGCTATTGATGCTGATCAAGAATATATATACTTTATGTGCTCGGAGATGCTTCCTTCTGCCTGTTACATACATTTGGCTTTCGCACAAATACAATATACCCCTTTTACCCATTTTGAATGGATTCTGGGTATAAAACACTGCGCCTAAAACATGGCCCATGCGTCGGCGTTATTTCCAGCCAGTTCGGTTCGTAGACGTAACTCGATTAGCTCGACATGTTATCAAATTCAGGAAGAGCGGCCCCTCTATGGAAGGGGTCGTGGGGGGAAGGGGGGGGGGAGGGAGAGGGGGGTTTCTTCGGTTCTGAAACAGGTATTTGAAATTGACTCCCAAATCGAACAACGACGAATGTCTCGCATATATTAGCGCTTCCATGCATGTTTTCCAATAAAAGAAAAAATACAAAAAAAATTAATAAAAAAAAAATGAGAAAAAAAAATCAGAAAAAAAATTAAAATAAAAAAAAAATAAAAATATTGTACGCCTTATAAAAAATGAATGCTAGGCACAGATATACATATATATAACGATGAATACATGTGTGTGTGTGTGTGTGTGTGTGTGTGTGTGTGTGTGTGTGTGAGAGACACACATACACAGTCAATAAAAATCATTAAACCTAAACGCGTATGCTAATTTGATGATGGCGGTTTTCTAATTTGTTGTTTTCTACGCACACACACACACACACACACACACACACATGCATATAGATATAGAGATATAGATCTATCTGCCCAGCAAACCAGATTTCTATGGCCCTACAATGAGTCGAAGTCCGGCCCAAAAACAGTTACATCTTGCCGGATTATCGGCTGCCCCAGCAACCCAGCAACCCAAAGCAAGCTCTGTGCGTGTGTGTGTGTGCGTGTGTGTGTGTGTAACGCCAAAGAAAACAGTGCTCGACTGCGCGAATACCCTGCAAAACAGCGCCTGAAACTCAGCTCTCAAACTAGAGTTTGATTTATGCCTAATTTCTTTGACTTTTTTTATAGATCTTACAAGAGTTTTTTTTTTCTACCGATTTGAATCAGGTTTTATGAAAACTTTTCCTTTTTTTATGAGAGCATTCTCTTAGTATTGGGAATTCCATATAATATTTACTTGCTGAGTTCATCTGATTCATTTCTGTTTGTTTTTTGAGAAATTAATACAAATATGATCAAATTATGCAAATTTATTTTCCCTAGCTCAGCTAGACGCCGAGTTCCTATAGTTAAACCTTATATGGATAGTAATACATTTTCGGCCCAAGTTTGGCTGTTGCTTAATAAACTTAAACATATATGTGAGCTAGAGCAGCTTACATGCCAAACATTGTTGTCTTAGCTTGCCTAGACTCTAAGTTATTCTAGATCATATATCATATTAGGGAGTTCCTAAGAAATGAAGAGCTACCTATGTGATATACCAAATTGTTACAGACCCGAGCTCATGCAGATTGTAAATGGGTTTTGCTTAAGTTCTTAGAGCTAGAGACGAGCTGCACTCTTGATAATGACAAGCCGCACACCGAGTTCGTATAGACCGCTTGACAATGATTATTACAGGGTATCGCAGCACGCAACGCGTTGACAACTGGAGACGTTCTCGCCATGTCCGCATCGGGTTGGCTGCTGTTGCGGTTCGTTGTCCGGTTCGGTTGGGTCTTCTTTTTTTTTTCTGATTTCTTCTTCTTCTTCTTCTTCTTTTTTGTTGTTTTTTGCGTGCGCGCAACACACGCTGCGACGCCGGCAGCGTCGCTCTGAGCTTATCAAAAGACCATATATAAGGAAACAAGATGCGGCAGCGTTTGTATTTATTTGTTAGAACCTGTGCACAACGCACCTCTCGCTGCGATTCTCACAGTTTCAACTAGCAGTTCGACTTGGGATACCCTACAACACAACACACACACACACACACGCACACAACAAACATGAAGAGTTTTGTAAGTTGATTGTAAAATGCAAAAGACAATAAATAATTAAAAATCGAGCCAAGCGAACTTCCGAGTGAAAAGTGATTCAATAAAAATCTATTAAATAAAATAAAATTATATCAAATAAATAAACGGCTTGCTATAAAACATTAAACATAAATCCTGGAGTTGTAAACATTTTTTTTTTATCGTGCCTAGACAATAAAGCCGCAAAAGTGAACGAATGTGTTTTTCAGTGTGACCAATTTTTTTTTTGAAAAAAAGAAACTCTAAAAATACGGTGTGCCCAAATGTGTAGCTATAATGTCATGTCCTTTTGCAAGTAACCTACATATATATATTGCAATTGCAAGATCCTTTTTGAAAAGGCAAGCGCCGCATTTCTTGTATTAATACGAATTTGCTTAAATTTTGATTGAAAGGCAACTTAAAACAAGATTTAATTCTTTGTATTGAAATTCTGGCTTTTTTTTTGCTACAAATTGCGAGCTCTTCAATTTTCAAATTGAACTTTGGCCTTTTTGTTATTTTTGCTTTGCACTTTGCCAATTGGCTTCATTCACAGTTAGTCCAGGCAAAGAGCGCCAGGCTTAACTCCAGGCGCTTCCAGGCGCTGCTCTCCCGCTCTCTCACACGCATTCCAGACGCAGACGCGCTCTGCAACTGTTAACCAGCATGAGATTAAAATAAAATTAACAGCAAGAGAGCCAAAGCAGAGGCCAAACATTGAAACGGTTTAAGCTCAGATCAAATAAATCGAAGCCCATTAGCAACAACAACAACAACAACAACAACAACAACAACAACAACAACAACAGCTGAACGAAACGCGCGAGACAAAGCGTCGGCAGCCAAGGCGACAGCGTACGCGTCTCGAAAACGCTAGCAAAACGCGCGCGCACGCTGCCGCTTTGATTAATTGCTGCGTTTTTAAACGCCTGTCGTTGTGCTTGTTGTTTTTGTTGCAGCGACAACAACAAAAACAAAAGAATTAAAACATTAAATGCATACAACAACACGCGTTTGACACTTGGCACAGACCACAAGCCCGTGATTTATAAATAAAAAAAAAAAAAAACAAACAACATGGCACACATTTCCATATGCCGTTTTTTTTCTCGTCTGCGCCTTCTTCTTCTTCTTCTTCTTCTTCTTCTTTGCGGCTGTTAAGTGACAGCGTCATTTAAGCTCGCACGCAAAACGTGAACACACAAATCATCCAATCAAACTAATCGCATAATCTTCTTCTTCGTCTCTCGCCCTCTATACCCGTCTCGCTCGCTCGCTCGCTCAGCTGGTTTTGTGCTTTGCGGCGCTGGCGCTCGCCGATGTCAAGCATCTGACAGATCGCAATCTGGACCTGTTCAAATACAATCCCGGCGATATCTATACCCTGCCCGAGGACATCGATGATGACAAGCCGGCCGTGCAGTTCAGCGGCGACGTGATGAAGGCCAAAACCGAGAAGCTGCAAAACATAAATTCCGGCAAAAAATATAAACTCGAGTAAGTGTCAGTCGATGTCAGTCGATTAATTATCGATAACAGCTTTAGCAAATCTCAGTGGAAACAATTTAAATACGCTTCACGAACATGAACAGATTGTTTTGCATTTCGACATCGTTTTAATATTTATGTTGTTTTTCAAGCTTCAAGTTTTGATAAGTAATTTTACGGATGTAACCTCAAATTCATATTTACGTGTTGTCATTTCTTAAGAATTATTATCGGAATGAAACCAGCTTCTTCTCAGTTGAGTAGCAGTGAAAACGATTTGTAATCGATTCGGACTCAAGAACATCGAAACGAAAACGAGTCGAAATGCATCCGATTTTACTTAACTGGCCATGCTATCTATAGTATTCAAATATGAAGCAAAAGTATTTCTAAATGTAATTCAAATACTTCACTCCGATAACGATTAATCGATAACAATAGTTGGGATTTGCTGGCGAATCTAATTATGCTATTTATATGTTTATAGTATATATGCAAAAGTATTTGCAAATGGCATTGTAAAACTATCGATAACTTTTTATCGATAACAATAGTTGGGATTTGCTGACGAATCTAATTATAGTATTTATATATCTATAGTATATAGGCAAAAGTATTTGCAAATGGTATTGTAAAACTATCGATAACAATTTATCGATAACAATAGTTGGGATTTACCGGTCAATCCATCTACTGTATTCAAATATATAGTATATATGTAAAAATAAATCCAAATAGAAATGTGCAACTTTCGATAACGATTAATCGATAACAATAATTTGGATATACTTGCGAATCTATCAATGGTATTCAAATATATAGTATATACGCGAAATTATTTGCAAATGAAATTGTGCAACTTCACTTCGATAACGATTAATCGATAACACAACTGACTTTTACAGATTGAAGACCCAGAACGGCATTGAGGTGAACAGCGTTGGCAAATTGAAGGACGACAAGACCTTTGTGGTGAGCGGCTCGTATTCGTTTACCGGAGCCGATGGCAAGCGCTACAAGACCCGGTACACGGCCGATGAGTTCGGCTACCATCCCATCACGGAACTGGATCTGGACCTACCCGAGTAAGTGCAGCATTTGCAACAGTTGAACTAAAAGCTTAATTTAATAAATAAATTGCATTGTGCAGACCTCAGCAGCTGGTGTCAGCGGGTCAGAGGCCCGCCGTGGATCCGAGCAGCCTGTTGGGCAACAAGAACCGCTTCCAGTTCCTCCAGCAGAGCCTGAATCTCGAGCAGGGCGGCCCGCTGCGCGGCAGCGGCCAGAGCGGCGACGACTACAGCTACAGCGGACCCGGCAGTGCCTACGGCAATGGCCTCGGCGCCGACAATGCCTACGGATCCGGCGCCGACAATGCCTACGGACCTGGCAATGGCAATCCCTATGGACCTGGCGGCGCCAGTGTCAATGGCTACGATTACCAGCCGCCGGCAGCGCCCTCGCGTCTGTATCTGCCCACGGCATAGATGCCTCTGGCCAGCCCCGCCCCGTCCTGTTCTGCCCCACCCCTACCCCCAAATTAAACCCCTTGACCCTAAGCCCAAGTATTTAGTTTTAAGCGCAATCCTCCAACAGGCGATTAACAAGTAGCGAAATTTTTTTTTTTATCATCTTTTAGTGTTATATGTATACAATATATCCCCTGAAACCCTGATAATCCCCTACACACACACACACACACACACACACGCAAACACACACTTACACAAAGACAAGCCCAGACACGAACATGACAATGAATCTATATATGAATATATATATGTATATACACTGAGTGATATTAGTAGTAAATAAAATGGCTAAACTAAGTTCGAATTGTGTTTATCTTGAACAAATACTGTTAAAGTCCCTGCTCGGGCGCCAGTTTATGATTATTCCACTTGAAATTGAATTGTTTAACATTTGCTAGTGCAAAATAAGACATCATTATGGTTCAGCTCTTGATAGATATATTACTTAATACTGCTCTGTCGCCTCAGCATCAAAGTGAGGTTAAGTCCGTTTGCATTCTGCACAAAAAAGTTAGGTTAGAATTGCTTTGTGAAAAACCTTCCGGTCACCATTTAGTCTTCTATTCTGCTTAACAGTAATCCTTTGAAACTCAAATGATTTGAAGAGAATAGCATAGCCAAATGTTTGCTTTTCCAACGAAAAGGAATCTTAGTGTATAGCCAAAGTCCCTGCTCGGGCGCCTTGTGCTGCAAGCTGGTGTTAAAGTCGCTTGTAAGTTTGCAATGAGCTTTATGTTAATGTTAAGTTTTGTATAGACTAATTAATATAGTACCCTATGCTAAATGGAGACTTAAGTTGCATAGCTGTGCAGCTTTTTATGGTACAGTCTAACAGCTTGGAGCATATTCACGTATCCGCATTGTAAATTGTAGAATCGCCTGAAAGTATGCCTTGATTTACTCAGCTGGCGCTTAAATTACGCTTGTGCCTGCAAGTGTGCAAATATTTGTTAGAATTGTCATTTAATTTAAAAAAAAAACATTGTTTTCAAATATAGCCAAGTCCCCGCTCGGGCGCCGTGATGTGCTGGTTCGCATCTAGCAGGCCTTTCGCTGAATACTGTTTAAATAACAAAGATATATAAATAATAATTAATTGGATACTGTTGGAAAACTTAAATCGAATCCAGCTCGCGGCCACAACTGCGCTGCATCCCTGCTCGGGCGCCACATTTGCTGGTACAGTCGCGCCAAAAGCTTTGCTAGACCAGCGCAGACTGGCCGAGCAGCGCCTCGATGCGCTCACGCGCCTCCACATAGGCCACCAAGACCTCCTGCAGGGTTGCCGACACGGCCGGCTTGTCCCTGTGGCCGGGCGCAGGACTGTCATCGTCGTCGCTGTCCTCCGGGGCGAGCAGATGGCCCAGCGGCTGGTGGCGCTGCTGCAGCTTCTGCAGGCTGAAGAGCAGCGTTCCGGTGCTGCGCATGATGTGCGAGCGGCCCGCCTCGAGTCGGTTGTGCATGAGATTGTCGCGCGAGCGGCTCTTGAAGTAGCCGACAAAGTCGAACAGCGAACGGCCGCCAATGAAGTAGCGATTGAGCGCATCCAGCCAGCTGCCCATGGGTCGGATGCACTGCAGCCGCAGGCCGGCGGACGCGGCGGCGGGCAGCGGCGACAGCAGCGAGCAGGCGAAATGGGCGTAGCCCTCGCAGCGCTCGCGCTGCCAGCCATCGATGCTGATCACCTCGAAGTAGATGTGGAGCAGCTGGTGCGGCTCATGGGACTCCTCGCAGAGCAGCGTCAGCTGCCAGCAGTGCGAGAAGTGCGCCAGCCGGGAGGCGCCGCCCGCCACGCTGGTGGCCGTGGCGCCGCGCAGCGGAAACGGATCGTTCGGATTGGCCGGCTCCAGAAGCGTGTGCGAGGGCGGATTCACATAGTAGCGCACATGGATGTTGGGGTACTCGAAGTGCTGGGCCTCGTGCAGCTGGAGCAGCAGGGTGACGCGTCGCATGCGCTTCGGCGGCAGCTGGAACTGCAGCAGGCGGCGCAGCGCAGAGGCGCCGCTACGTTTCGCCTGATAGTAGCTCACCAGCTGCTCGGCGCTGGCCTCCGAGCCGGGCAGCGAGTCCGCCGGCGGCGTGGGCAGCTGCTCCAGCAGCTGATCCGGCGGCTGCGACGAGTTCGCGGCGGCCGCATCGATGGCGGCCTGATGAAAGCCGTAGGCGTACAGCTGCCGGCAATCGTTGTCGATCTGGAGCACATAGTCCATGTCGTCGGCGGTTGTGCTGAAGTCCGGATAGACATAGAGCAGGCCCTCTGCCGGCTGGTAGCGCAGGCTCAGCAGCAGCGTGTCCCGCTGCAGTTGCGCATAGACGAACATCAGCTGGTAGCCCTGGTCGTGCAGTTGTCGCGCCTCCGGCGGCCAGTCCGCCTCCGGCAGCTCGCGCAAATCCGCATCGATGAGCGTATGCACGAGGCAGGTGCGCGCCGCAAAGTTGGGATCATCCGGCGGCGGCGCCGGCTGCGTCTCCACGCTATATTCGGATATGGCCAGCGAGGAGAGCGGCGGCGTCTTGGAGCGCGCCGATTTCCGCTTCGATTTGCGGCGCCGGCGCACACGGATCTGCTGCTCCGCCTCCTCGCGCTGCACGCGCAGCCGATGGCGCCGCTGCAGCTCGACAATGTGCCGCGTCCAGCGATGGTAGCGACGCTGCAGCGTCGTGATGCACTGGCTGGCATCGCCGTAGCGCTCCAGCTCCGTGCGACTGAAGTGCTTCTGCTGCCAGCCGATGCGCAGACTCGCCGTGGAACCGTTGCACAGCTCCGGATTTAGTGCACTGAAGGCGGCATCCACCGGCTGCTCGCCCAGCTGCGAGTGGCTGCTGCTGGGGTAAGTGCGGCCGGCGGCGGCGGCGGCGGCGCTGCTGCTGCTGCGGCTGCGACTGGTGCGACTGCTGCCCGGATAATCGCTGCCGGGATTGTAATAGTTGTAGTAGGCATAATAGTTATTGCCGTATTGATCCTCGTACGGCACATAGATGAAACAGTCCGACCAGCCGCCGCTGCGCGGACTCTCCGGATAATGATCGCCGTAGTTGACTTTGGCGCCCGTATATTCAAATTTCGGCACGGGCAGCCATTCGCTGACATGCCGCAGCTTCAGCTCCAGCCGCAGGTCCGCTATGTTGCCCTTGACGCGATAGATGCCCGTGCGTTTTGGTGCGCTGTTTCTGTACATTTTGCACGTGAATTGTCAAAATTATGTTTGTTTTTGTTCTTCTCCTCTGTTTTGTAATTCAATTTGTTTTCAGTCGTTATGGCAACGATAAAATGTGTTATCGATAAATCGATTGCCACGGCTAAAAATACTGAAAATGTGACAGCTATTTGGCATTTTACCAAGTGGCGCGCAAATGATTATTTCAAAATTTGCTTATTTATGCGCCTTAAAAGTGATGATGGAAGCAGCTTTGGCTTTAGCTGAAAATGAATTCAATTTGTGCTGCGCCTGCTTTAGTTTCAACTTTCTTACTATGCCAGCACAGGCGCATATCGCTTGCCTTGCGCTAAATAATACCAAAAGGCGCTTTAGTTGCTTGGTATATTTTTGTGTCTCTGTGTGTGTGTGTGCCCAGACAGACACAGGCGCATATCGCTTGCCTTGCGCTAAAAAATACCAAAAGGCGCTTTAGTTGCTTGGTATATTTTTGTATGTGTCTGTGTGTGTGCCCAGACCTGCCAACTGGCTGCTCGGTGAGCGCGCGCGCGCTTCATCAATTCGAGTGTGCGTGCGTGTGCATGTGTGCGTGTCGTGTATGTCGTGTGTGTGAGTGAGCTTTTCCACTGCGCTTGCCTGCAGCGTTTATCGCCAGTTGCTTTTCGTGCCGTCAGTTGTTATTCTGCTGCGCTGCGTGCTGGTCGTGCATAACGCGTCTCTTCTCTGTCTCGCATTTCAATTTGTTGTTAACACATTTTCGTTACGTTACGGTTCGTCTTAAGCTGTTCTCTTGTACATGTTTTTTTTTTTAACATTTTTGTTTTGTACTGCTTGTGACACTTGCGTTTGGCGTTTTGCGTCTTGTGTTGCGCGCGCGCGCACATTGAACAAAAGCAAAGCAACAAATTCAACGGCAGTAAAAAGGAACAAACAAAACAACAACAACAACATCAGCTTCAACTGTTTAACAATAACAATTGTAATAATTGGCAGTTTTATTATTATTTTACGCCACTGTTCTACTTTTATTGGTAGTGAAAGTGTTTTTTTACTTTTGTTTTTTCATAACTCTTTTTTTTTTTTTTATTGTATGTTTTCGTTTTGTTTACACATTTATTTTGGGGACTCTGTCAGTGTTTTTTAATTGCCATAAATACTATTTTTACAGCAATAAACAAGAACAGCAACAAACACACACAACAACGACAATATGCAGCAAAAGGCCGATGAGGTGAGTGAATAGATCAAATAAATAATGCATATGTAAAAAGTGCTGCAAACAAAAAAAAAACGATCGTTGTTGCTGCTGCTCTTAGATGTTGCTGGTGTGCTCGGTCACAATGTTGCGGCGCACATCCTGTGCTACTTTGTTGCTGAGCCCGAGTTCTTTGCCTGTGCTGTGCGTTGAATTCGCTGTGCTCTCTGTTACATGTTGCTGCTGCTGCCCTTAGATGTTGCTACTGTCCTCGGCCTCATTGTTCCGGCGATCATCCTGTGCAACTTTTGTTGCTGAGCCTCAGTTAATTGCACTCTGTCAATGTTGCTGCTGCTGCCCCTAGATGTTGCTAGTGTCCTCGGCTACTTTGTTGCGGCTCACATCCTGTGCAACTTTTGTTGCTGAACTTCATTCCTTTGACTTTGCTGTGCGTTGAACTCGCTCTGCTCTCTTTTATTGCTGCTGCTGCTGCTGGTGCTGCTGCTGCTGCTGCTGGTGTTGGTGGTTCTTGTGCCGTGACGTTCCACTGACTGATTCTGGAATATCATCATAGCAACAACAACAAGCGGCCTTATTGTACACGTTTATATTTTCTTCGTTTGTTTGGTTTTTCATTTAAATTTTGTTGTCTATTCATTATTATATTATGCTTGTTTGTTTTTGTTTTTTTTTGGCTAGCTTTTAATGTTGTCCTCGCACTATTTGCACAGTTGCGCTGTTCAAATTTTGCGGCTCTGCGCGAAGCTCTCTCTTTTGTTCAAGCTCTCTTTTGCTGCTGCTCTCTTGAACTATTTGTTGCGTCTGCTCAAATGCTGCTGGGCTCAGTCGCAGTTGCTTTCATGTTTCATGGGCATTGTTTATAATCATTTTTGTCTCTCTCTTTTTTTTCGGCTGTTTTTGTGTGTGTGTGTGTGTGTGGTGGCCGCAAAAGTCAAAGTCATGGCAACATTTGGCTGTTGCGCATTGTTGTTGTTGATGTTGCTGTTGTTGCTTTTAGTGAAATTTCTTGGGGCGATTTCTTTGCCCGAAAACTTCTATTGTTTGCTTTTGGGTCTGCTGCAGCCATTTGTCAAGCCCGGGATGAGCACATAAAGATCTGTATCCACAAGTGTGCCACAAGTGCCAACTTCGATAAACAAATTGGCGACCCAGAAGTGACAGCAACAGCAACAGCAACAACAACAACGATAAGAAGAAGAAGAGCATAAATCAACAGCTGTTTTTACAACTCATTTAGCAACAGCAACAAAACATAAATTGCCTGCGCCTGAGCCAAAAAGTGTTCATGAGCCAAGTCCAAGTTCGAGACGGAACCAAAAAGCCGTCTCTGGACGGGCTCAAATGCTGCATTTAGCCTTGCTGCAGTTGCTGCAAGTAAAAGTCGAAAAACCTGTCAAGTGGCTGGCAACATATCGAAGCAGTCGCACGATGCGAGGGGGAGGGGGGAGGCGATCAAAAGGGGGAGGGGAGGGCGGGTGCTATCGACAGAAGATGACTGTCCATGACCCAAATAAATGAAACTTAACGAAAAATGACAAATGCAAGCGCGACAGAGAGACTGCAAGATAAGAAGTGTGTGGGAGGGGGCGGAGGGGAGGGGAGGGTAGGGGGTGGAAAGGGGCTTCAACAACTGAGTAGAAATTGTCATTAGGAGGCGGCCCCACATGTGCGCACATTAAACAAAGTCTGGCAAATTGTTGAACAGAGTTGCCAGATTTTGGCAACAAACAGTTGTAGAGTTGCCACTGCAGGCTGTTTTTGGGCAGGCAGAAAACTTTGATTAAATTCTTTCCCAAAAAACCTTGATCCTTTACTTTGGCAAGCTAAAAACTTTATGAACTTTTCGGACGGAAAATGGTTGGAAAAATAAAACTTGCACCGAGCAAGGCCGGGTAATACGAGCTAGATTCGGTTTATTATATCATATACTAGCGGGTATTCCCCCAGCCCAGCCGGTGTCTAAATATTTGAGATATAACTTTTTCACATAAAAACAATAGCCAAAATTTGAAATCAAACTTTGCCGTCTATGTTAGTCCCATGCAGAGAATCTTCGAGCACGTTTCAAATGAATTTTAACAAAGTTTTTCTAGTGTTTCAATAATGGAAATATGCTAAACAAATACTTTACTTAAACAAAAAAGAAGTACAAGCTAGACTCTAGAGAGTATTATATTGTTTCCTTTTGCCCCATTTATTCTTAAGCCCAATTAACCTGCCCTGCCTTAAATTTTCTCCCAGTACTTCTGTTTTTATACCCTGAACCCATTCAAAATGGGTATAAGGGTATATTGTATTTGTGCGAAAGCCAAATGTATGTAACAGGCAGAAGGAAGCTTCTCCGACCCCATAAAGTATATATATTCTTGATCAGCATCAATAGCCGAGTCGATCTAGCCATGTCCGTCTGTCTGTCCGTCCGTCAAGGATCTCAGAACCTAATAAGAGCTAGAGACTTGAAATTTTAGATGTAGATGCTCCTAGTTCCTGCGCAGATCGAGTTTGTTTCCGATAATCGATAAGAATCGATATCGATATCCTGTTTTTTGGGTAATTTTGGTAAATAGTAAGAGCTAGAGTCAGCAAACTTGACATATATCTTCTAAAATAGAATATATATATGCATTTGATGTTGCAAGAAGAGGGTTCAGAGTATCCTTTAGTCGGGAGCTCCCGACTAGAACCTCTTACTTGTTAGATCTAGTTTTTTGCTGCAGAAAAAAAGCTTCTAACTCACGTGAATTTGCGTTTGTTTTATGCCTGCTGTCAAAAAACCGGTTAGAATTTGTTGTATTTGTATTTCTTGCTATTTTTTTTTTTATTGTTAAGATTTCGCTTTCAGACGGCGACAAATTTTTTGACCAGTCGAAGTGCATTTTCTCGTTTCGCGCAGCCGTTTTCGCTGCCCGCCAATTGAAAGTAAAAATGGCCAAAAAAAAAAGTTAAATAAAAAAAAACCGGTCAAGCAAATTGATGCAAATGCAGATGCAGATGCAGATGCGGATGCAAACGCGAAGCTCAGCCGCGGCTCAGCCCGATAAGTGGCCATTAAAGTCATTATTTTTCGATTGTGGCTGCAAATTTATTTTTCAAATTTAAATTGAATATTAAGAAAAAAAATAAAAACAAAAAAGAAGATTTAATGCGCCATCATCGCAAAGCCCATAATTAAGGCTAAACACAAGGCAAGTGGATGACGGATGAGAAGCGCGGGGAGAGGCGCCGCGGCTACCTGCTCTTGTTAGCCAAAAGAAGCAGAAGAAGAAGAAGAAGTAGGCACAGAAACTATTTGAAGATGGCTGCGGCAGTAATCAAAGCCAAAGCCCAAATCCGAGTCCCAAAACTCTGGCCCCGAAAGCGCCTCGAAGAGCCAAAGGCGTATCGGACCAAAGAACTCAAATGTAATTACGTCTGGAGCAGGCAGCTTGAAGAGGATACGGGGGCAAGGCAAGGGGGGGGGGGGCGGGGAGGGGGGCAACAACAAACAGAGACAAATGAAAAACGCAAACAACGCCAACAACAACAACAACAACAAGAAAAACAAACAAAAAATGCGCCAAACTCGAAACTTGTCGCTGGCGATCGTCGAGCGAGCAAAGCGTTGACTGTGGGTAGGGGGAGGGGGCTGTTATGGTTGGGGGGGGGGGGGGGGGGGGGGGGGGGAGAGGGGTGCATAATGGGGAGTACAACTTGGGAGAGAAGGTGGAGGTCAATGCCTGGTTCAATGACACTTGACCCTTGCCAGATATTGTTTGTTGAGTCTCTGCCAAAGTGAGGCTAAAAGCGGGTGATACGAGAAAAGAGAGAGAGCGAGAGAGAGAGAGAGAGAGAGAGAGAGAGAGAGAGAGAGAGAGAGAGAGAGAGAGAGAGAGAGAGAGAGAGAGAGAGAGAGAGAGAGAGAGAGAGAGAGTGGCATGTCTGAGAGTAGAACTGGAGCAGCAAAAACTGCAAAAAGGAAGCTGCAAATAAATATCCAAAGCTCGACAATCCGAACTGGAATTCAGATAAGTCGAGCTCTAAGCAATTGAATTCTTGGCTAATACCAAATTTAAGGCAGTTCTACTTAAGATTTGCATCTATAGAAACATGCATGTAAATACGTGAAAGTTAGGAGATCTGCGGCACGTCGAACTTGGAATACTCTTATAGACGTAAGCCTTAAGGCCTGGCAGACATGTTTGCTTGGGGCAGCTTGTAAATGCTAAGTTTGATGCTAATATTTTGGAAAACAGACTAGTTTGCCATACAACAACTCATCCTTCGACCGATTCTTCCCATAGAGCTATATATTATAGTATTGAGATGTGGTCAAGTTTTCTAACATATGCAATTCCAGTTGTGACTGTCGAGTTTATGCAAGATATCTTGATATAGCTGTTGCTGGTCTAGAATAGATATTAATTACTGAACTAAAGGCGAATATGGTGAACTATATAGGCTTATCTATAAAGCGGAATATTCGAAATAATAAAAATGTTTTCTTTTTGTGATAAAGTCCCAAACAAAATCCCCAGACTCAGGAAGTTGGCAATAGAGTCCAAAACTGAGCCAAAGGCATTTTAGTGAATCATCAAAATTGATGTTACTGCAAGTCCAGTAAATCCCCCCAACGATGAGAACTCGGCTAAACAGGCTAAAAGATTGTTCTGGTAAATGCGTATAGCTCTTAGTTGTGCCGGGCAAATATGAGGCCCACTTTTCGATTGCACCGAGATCGTAAACAAGGTTATGCATCATAAATTTCACTCGAAAGAAAATGATTTTATAATGTATTTTTTTTTTGTTGGCCAGTTCTGACAATGAATGAAGACATTATCAAAAGATCGCTCGAGGCTGGATGGGAGCGCGCGAGTTTTCATAAAGCCAAAGATTACGAAATCAATGCATAATGCTCGAAATACGAAATACGCATTATCATAAACATAATAATGATATCGTAAAATGCAAATGAGTGCGCAGTGTTGAAAAGTGAATGTTTTATGTGTAGTGTTGTGAATGTTATGCATGCAACGGGC